TTATTTATGTATTTTCTATTTGCTTAGTGTTATTTTGATCTTTCCGTTTATACCCCTGTAGTGGGAAATGTCATGTGTGAGCCCAAAGGGCAATTTAGTCTTTTATTTCTTTGAGTCCATTGTACTTGGCTATATATAGCTCTTTGCTTATTATTTCTTGGTTAATGAATGATTATGAGATATTTTCCTGCACTTGTCTTCTTGGAGCTTTTGAGAGAGCTTGAGAGCGAGAGAGTTAGAGATCTTGGTGGAGCCTAGGAGAGGCCACCCGTCGTACCCAACAGTCACCACCGGTGGCTCTTAGTTCTCCTCCCTTCCTCCATTCTCAATCCCACGGTCACAAACCCCACCCGAGGCCCTTTCTCCCCCTCTCCATCCCACGGCCAAGGCTTTACCCGAGCCCCCTTGGCCGCCGGCCACCTCCCCCTTTCTCCCTCTTTTGGATTTCCTCCTCTTCCATTTATTTCCTATTATGGCTTAAATATATTTAGGATTATATTTGAATTCAAATTCAAGTTGTTTGAAATTCAAAATATTTCCTAATATACAAAGTCTATTTTAGGAAAGTCTTTACACCTCATTCAAATCTATTTATATTTGATTAGGATTTAAAATCTCCTTTCCTAATTTATATATCCTAATCTAGCATGCAATAAATAATTGCCACACGCCCTATTTTCCCATTAAATGCCGCCGGCCCCATTTGGAATTTAAAATAGGAAATCTCTCCTAAAACCAAGCCATCTCTTTGGAAATATTTCCAAACCTGATAATTTTTTATTTGGCTGAAAATGTCAAGCCCCCACCTCCTTTAATTCCTTCCCAACTCATGCCTTTCCCTTTTGGAAATAAATCCCTCTTTCTTCTCATGCTCCACCGCCCCCTCCTCTCTCTTAATTGCTCTAGATAGCTCTCTAGTCCATAACCTATGAATTGGAATTCACTCTCAGCTTTCTCTTCACAATTAAGGCTAGACTCCTCCCTCCAATTTCTCTACATTCTAGCCCACAAAAATCTGAAAAATTCCTCTCAGATTTTTGTTGGAAATCTGAAACTGTTTTCAGATTATAAGAGAAAAAGAATTGGAACTTGCTTCCTTCCCCCCTATCAATAGAAACTCCTTTATCTTTGTTACTATTCAAGAGGAGCATCAATTGTTAGGAAGCTTCAATCCTCCATAAATGGCGGATCTGGAAGTTGATTATGGGATAACATAGGACGAGGACGGTTTCATTGACATTTTACAATCTACCTACTTCGATGTAAATCCAATGGTTGATCACACCGTAGAAGATTATTTGGAGCGAACGTTGATCTACTTGGTTGAAGCTATTGACGAACACTTCGAAGGCATTGAGTGGAGGATCTCCACTACCCTTGAAGAAGGTTCATCTTCCCCCTTACATCTTTTATCTCTTAGTCTAACTTCTCTTAACTTGACTGCAGTCACGGCGGGCTCTTTCACATTGCTCTTGCTTACGCTTAGTAAACGTAGGGTTGAGCGCACCTCTATGTTTTCCTATTCTCATTGTTAGACTAGGGATTATTTTGAAGCTACTACTACTCATTATGTTGTTTTCCTATTTATTTTGGAAGTTTCAAAATTCTCACCATGTGATTTAGCCTAAGCGGATAACCACTAATTGCTTTATTTCGTTGTTTGAATTTGCTAGTAGATTTGTTCTAAAATTATTCCAATCATAAGTTGTGCAAAATATAAATGAATTAAACCTTGCATATGTAGTCCTGCATCAGTACTCCTCGGCATTGATATGAGTGTTGTCGACTAGAGGTAAAAATGCACTTGTCAGTTGAGGCATTGGCTGCTCAACTCATCGAGGAGTAGATTATTTGTTGTAGTCAGGATAGCAAGTCTCATCTATCACAAGAGTTGAAGCTAATGGCTTCATACTTGGAGATCGTCACCATATGACATAGCCTAAGGATCTTTCTACAATATCCAACTTTGAAGTAGCTCTCGGAACACACTCAAATACTCCTTGAGATATCCAATATATTATAACTTATGACATCAACTTAGCTTTGACTTCAAGATAACTCTAACAAGTTCAATGTGATCCAGGTAACCTCTTAGCAAACCTAGCATGTTCAAGTGAACCCAACAAGTTCATGGTGAATATGGCCAGTTCATGCTGAACTAAGTGATTTTTTTTCTTCGGCTAACTTAGAACCCAAATCGGATTGACTTGAACTTCATGATATATTTAAGTATACACTGGGTTGCATAGTCTAAGACAGACAAAGATAAACATAATTGTGATTATGATCACATTTAAAAGTTCATGTGAATATGATCTACATGCATCTACATAACCAATACTTTCAACCACGTTGTCGTCTATATCCTCATGCCAACTAGTCTATTGATTTTATAAGAATAGCTATATCGACTAGTGAAAAGTCTTTTTTTTTAATTCAACACCAGGGATATTGCAAATGATGTCAATACTGCAGAGGCTGAATCAAACGAATTGATCTGACAACATAAATGGTACTAAGATGAAATCAATTCAAAGAGTGCTACATTACTTAAAAGAACAATATTTAAATCAATATAAAGAAATATATTCATTCAACCCAGCAACTCATAGGTCATAATATAGGAGCACATGTGTTTTATTAAATAAGTTTTACTCAAAATCTTTTAAAAATATTTATTGCTCCATCAACTTATCTTTTGGCAACGAATTAATCCACATATAATTTGCCACTATATATTTACATATATTTACATTATAAGCTTATAAAAACTATTTTCAACATTTTAATTACTAAGGAGATCCTCTGTAAAACTAATTGTAATAGCAAACTTATAAAATGGTTCTACTTATTATAAAATATTTACAACTATGAGTTGCTTGTTTTAAGAGTGAATGACTATTACAATTATGATCCTACAGGCCATAGGAACTTCAAACATGTCGAGCAAATTTTAAGAGTGGATTGACTTCCATTTAGGCTATATGGAGTCAAGTAGGCTTTTGTTGCATGAAATTTGACAAGATTAAAAAGTTTATATTTGGGAGAGAGTGACGATCGATGCGAAAGACTCTTATCGGATGTGGTTCTTAAGATTCACATGAAAGTGAAGAATAATATCAATTCAAAAGTGAAACAAATGTTGAGTTTCTAATATCCCAACAGTAACCCTTATCCATTCAATTTAACTTTTGGGTTGATGGGTGTCCACCTACAATGATGACAAAGGCGCAAAGCCAAAAATTGAGATCATCATAGCTCTAAAATCACATTTGGTAGCCAAAATCAATTAGCTAAAATTAAAATAATGGTCTTTTATAGCGGATGACTGTAAAGCAGAACAATGTGTACAAACTTTTCAAAATTTTGTAAGAGATGGCTAAGCAAGGCCATGCATCACGAAACAAAAACAATTAGCCCATAAGTCATTTATTTTAACTTTTGTTATTTGATAACTGTCAAAAGCCACATTATCATCTTGTCAAAAATGAACTAGGGGTTGTTTGGTTGCCTGAAAAAGGAATGTAGTATAAAGTAAATGCAGCGTGTTTAAAATAATTTGGAGTTGTTTGGTTGTGAATTGTTTTTTCTTGTTTAGTGAGGTAGTAAAAGCAGTGTATTTTGAATACTTTGGTGTTGTTTGGTATAATGTGCAGTATCAAATGCAATATACTATATGCAATATACTATTGAAATGGAAAGACAATAATATTATTCAATACTTGAAAGCTCAATCATACATGCCTGGAGATAGAAAATTGAATCATTACATAAAGGAAGACTGGAATGCTTTCATCAAAGCTCGACATCTTCAAATCGAGAAGAAAGATAACAGCAAGACAAAAAAACAGGAGATGGACAAACTGAAATTTTGATTGGTAAAATGTGAACTAAAAATTGGGACGAAAGATACATAGGTCGCGGGCAAGAACGATATGTGTCGCGGGTGAGATCAGCTGCGAAATACGTAGGTCGCATTCTTCAGCACTGCAAAGAAAATGTGTCGGGCGAGACCCTTACAGTCTGTGAAGAACATCTACAGGCACTAGATTTTGCAGAAAGGACAACAGGATGGATTTCACGAGGAAGATGCTGGACGGTTGGGGTTCCGCTCCTTTTCATGCGCAGAGAAGCAGTATATTTGGAACTCGTTCAATTTAAGCGAGTTTGTAATACACGTGAAATGAACCGCATAATGACTTTGAATGCAAGCCAAATGCATTACATTCTCACTATTTATTTACTTCACGCGGAACCAAATGCCAAAATTTGACAAATTTGCGCATTTATTTTCTAGTACAAGCTAATTACAGGCAACCAAACAGCCCCTTAAGCCTCTCTATTAAGTAAAGAAGTACCTTGAGATCTGTCAAATTTTTAATTAACAGCTAAGATTGGTGATGCTAGAAACATAATATAAAACAGGCCTAATTTGTTCTCGGAAAATTGCTTTTACTTTTTTCAAAGAAACTTCAAATTAAAACTAGACCTCAAGCTTCTCCAAAGGCTTTTGAATCCTGACAACTACTATTCCTAGTTTAAGTGTGAAATCACTTTGCATTTATTAACTTATTTAGTCATACAATCTCCCTTCTACCAAATCCAACAGACAGAATATGCTCCTACAATCAATAAATAAAGAAACGATATAATGTTTGATTCCAAGAATGTTTTGAGAAAGCAAAAATGCAAAATGATTCAATGCCATTCCAATCATTATAATCTAACAAGGTCTTCAGTTTCTCCTAGAGCATATCATGATGTAGAGCATTAAAAAATTAAGATATCTAGCTAACTTAATTATCACAAGTACACACATAATTCATGTAAGAATCCTGACACCTGTCTTCAACAACATATCATGATGCGAAGCATTAAAAATTAATGCTATATAGGCTACATTAATTATCACAATTACACAATATAATTTATGTATGAATGCTGGCACCTGCCGTACGCTTCACAATTTGTAAGACTGTACTATAGAATCAGATAAATACCACTGAGGATAGTTTCAAGTTGTGGAAGCTCAGATTGCAAATCAGAAAGCGCTGCATTGGCTGCATCGCTCACTAACTGCTTCAAATGATTTTCTGCAACCTGGTTAGAAAAACAAAAAGGACAATTGGATCTAATCATGTAGAAATAAGCCTTAGGTATCAACGCTTTCAATCAGAAAAAGCTAAGATGCTTATCATGGCTTTTCTTTAAAATCAAGAAAGGCATAGCTAAAAAGAATTCAGTGAAATTACTCCACAAGCTACAATATTGGACAACATTTGTTAGTGTTCTGTTCAGATCAAGGAAAAAATTTAAACATCAAAATAAAGGTTCAACTTAGGAATAATTTCATGACATTAGAAAAATGTCAATGGCCAAGTTGAATGTCAATATTGAAGATTTCATTTCATTAAAAAAATACAGCTAAGTATTAAAAAAAATATGATTGCCTGTCATGAAAATGATAATAGTAGGAAAAAAATTATCTTTAGATTAAAAGCCAAGAATGAAGCAGTCGGTTAAAAAGGCTGTGACAAAATAGCTAAACATTCAACAAATTACAGCTCAAATTCGTTTTAAACTTTCATATTCAAGTTCGCTTCAAACTCAATAAGAAAATAAATGAAAGGGTAGTACTTCACTTAATTTTGTTCATTTACAAGGAAGACCCTCTGTTGCTTAAGTCTGTGATAGAACTTGAAGATGAATAATAATGGAAACTAATTCAGTAGAGTTCCCATTTAAGATAACGAGAGAGGGCTCTCTTCGAACTAAATCAGTAGAGTACCCATTTAAGATAACGAGGGAGGGCTCCTCCCTCTGAGGGGGAGATGAGAGTTAGAAGGATTTAACATTCCCCTAGAAGGGGGTATTTATAAAGGTAGAGATTAAGGTAAGTATGGTGCTTTTTGGTGAGGCGGATGGTGGACAGAAGTGACAACTTGCCTTCAAGATCGAAGTCAAAATAAAATGCCCTTGTGTGAAGGGTATTTTAGTCCTTCAATCAATCATAGTGATGGATAGATGGGTGGAGTCCTTGGCAAATAAATTTGCCTGACCAGAGATTGAAATCAACCAAGTGGCAGGAGATCAAAATCAAACTATATGAAGGCCTACAGATTTTTGCTAGGTGAGATCTAAGCTGGGCCATCGAATTCTAATTGATGCTTCGGAAATAATGCTTAAATTTATAGATTTGATTGAAGGAGTCGAACCCTTCAAGCATCTTGAAACGATTTAATAGTGGTGATCTTGAAGTATCATTGCTTTTTCCTGGCTCCACTACATAAAGATCATAAAAGCATGAATCACGATGTCATAGTTGGATAGCTCGAATTAGCTAGGACTCCGTAATTTTAAAGGAAACTATCAAGAAAATAGTGCATGAGGGGGTCAAATAAAAATAGCTTATATTTGTTATTATATTAGGATATTTTGGGTCTATAATTTTTTTGAATTTACTGATCATAATTTATAATATATATACATTTGACCAAATCCATATTATGTGACACATTATCTGTTTTAGCTTAGCTAATTCCATATCAAGCAAAACCTCAAGCTTTTTCCCTTAGTCTAATTTCCAAATAAATTCACCTATTCACTGAATGCTCCATCGCAAGCACATCAAACAATAAAGCTCACAATCGTGGCCGTAGATCGGCGGCCACGTCACTGAAAAACCTTCCACGCTGATCTGATGTCCCCATCATCTTTACTCATATAACCAGTAAGATTTTCTCATTTTTCAATGTGAGGTTTAGTTCATTCTTGCCCCCCGCCTTTGCTCCTAGCAATCGGCTATCCTAGAGGCCTACCAGGACCACTCCTTGTCAAAGGCATCTGCTCTAGCAATCACTCCCAGCTCTCTTTAGACCACCCTCATGTTTTATTTTGAACCACATATCGTACTGGAGAAGATCTAACTATGATAATAATTGTAATGATCCAATCCATATTATGTAAGATATTGCTCACTATGGTCTAACCTATCCCGTAATAAGATGAGCGTTACAATTTTACCCGTCCTGGTGCATCATCCTAGAAGATCACTTATCCTAAGAATACACCATCATAAGCATGTTAATAGGAGAGTTCCTGATGAAATTTTAACATATTATATCAAAAATCACCACAAATATTTGGTTTAAACATTTATTTATATAATCCGATAATCTTTCCTTTTTTTTACATAGGATTTATTTCATTATTGTTATCCTTTTTCGTGCAAACCCAAAATAACATATATCAAAAAGAATAATTTATCTTTTTTTAGAGTTCCTAATGAAACTCAATACATTACATCAAAAGGCACCTCAAAATAATTGGTATTGAAGTATTCCTCCAAAGATAACAGGTCTTTTAGCAATCTCATTGCCATTAACAAGGAACTTTTCGTTCTCTTCCAAGCTTTTGCTTGTTCTCCCTCCTCAAAAATATCTAACACTCAATATGTGAATGGGCTACTCAAATTACTTTCACGCAATATCTAATTTTCATCTATCTTTTGTTTCCATTACCAGCACCCAATTCAACCTAATAGCAAGTCATTATTATTTAGCCAAGTTGGATTATATCTTAAGAGGTATGTTGGATCAGCCTGATTAATTCTTTACAGGGTTCTTTGATTTAAAGCAAAATAGATGTAAAGTATTTTTTACATTGCATTCATTTTACTCTACATTTCTTTTTCAACAAACAAAATAGCCCCTAAATCTTACGGCAAGCTTTGATCCTATAGATTTTCATATGCCCAAATCCTGACCAAAAAATAGGGCCCGATTAAGTTGAGTCGGTCTAATGAGTTTGACAACAAACTTTGAATAAACCTTTCAATTTGTCAAGTTGGATGGGCCTATGTGGGCTTCAAAAATTCACATCTGACTATTGAGAGAGAGTTTGTTCTGAGTGAAATTTTGAGAAGATGAATTGAATTATATTAAGAAACTATCTAGATATTTTGCCCTTATTTTACAAGGATTTTATGATATGATTCTAATTTTCCCATAGGTACAAGCCCCTATAGTTGATTGTCCCTCTAGATAACGAGAGAGAATTTTTTATTAAGTCTATGCATTAGATGCTAAACACAACTTATAGTCGTAGAGATTTGATTTTAGATTGAAAAAGTTTATTGTCTTTAGCTTAGGGCTTATGGTGGGAGGAAAGATGATGAACTGATCAAAATCTCATACATCCCTCATCTTGTGTTGTCATGAACCTTAATCTACTTAATTAGAGGCGGCATTCGACTCAACCTGACTAAAGAATCCATGTCAATAATCATAGGTCATACCATCCAAGAAGATCTTATAAACTCGAGGTGGATATTTCTAGGAGCAGTTTTTAGATGACCTTAACAAACCGAGGGTTTTATGCCCAACCAAATATTAAGTGCACCCATGATTCACAACTAAAAGGTTTTTAAGACATTGAATAATCTACGGGCTCTGGCCATAACCAAAATTTAATCGTGACATATTCTTATGAAACTAACCGATCATAAAGGACTCGATCATAACTGCTATTTAATGATAACATTTGGCAATAAAACCACTCGATCAAAAGACACATACCACATCCAAATTGTCATAAGATCTTTGAGAGTGACCATAAAATTACAACTACTCTAACATTAGCTCTTTGTGAGTTGATGTTATCTTAAATTTATCATCTTATCAACTACTATGGATGGTGGATGATTGTTACTTTACTTTAGTGTGGTTAATTTTGCTTGAAATATTTTTTTAATAATTTTAAATTTTTAATAAATATTGAATCCTTAAACTTCTATCAAAATTTTAGCCAAAAAAATTGCTTTAAGATTTGGGAGCATTTTGGTAAATAAGATTCCCTCCTGTTGAGATTTTATATAGACAAATTCATTATCAAGGTAGGATGTTTGAATCATTTGTATTTAAAATTTAAGCTTACTCTTTTTTTATCGAAATTAAACCTCTTGGGTTATGATTTGCAACAACGATGCCTATCATAAGAATTGGTTGCTTGACTGGCCTTTATTGCATCAAACCTCATGAACTATATTTGATTGCTTGCACGGGATCGTGTTTATGGGGTTCAAGTATTGTCAACTCCAGTCTTTGTTACATGGAGGATCATAATTGCAATGCAAGACTTATGAACTATATTTGATTACTTGCACAGGATAGAGTTTAAGGGGTTCAAGTATTGTTGACTCCAGTTTTTATTATGCGGAGGATCAGAATTGCAATGTAAAACTTACAACTCTGCCCTACGAGCAAAGCGGCCCGCTTGAGAACATGCATGCAACATAATGATGGGTTTGAAGCTGAATTTAACGTTCTTTGGATTCAAAATTTTTTTAAGTTATTCCTAGCAGCGGCTAAGGTGTGTTGGAGAGTTGATCTACCTCTCGAATAGTAGATCAATTGTATCTTTCGTTTTTGTTGGAGTAATCATAAATCAGCCCCCCATACTTATGTTCTTACAATTTCTTCTTATCTAGTTTGTTGTTTTTACTTCCAAGTCGCATCACATTCATTAATCATATACATGATTTTCATGCATATTATACTTTATAGTGATGGTGTTGAGATACAAAATAAAATTTTGAAAGTTCTCATGATTTTCATCAAATGCTTGGGTTTACAATGATGATATTATATCTTTGTTCATATCTATCAAATAGGCTATTTGGAATCCACTTTCTTGAAATTACCTACCAAAACTCTAAGTTATATAGTATTATTAGAAAAAATGATACATCATAATATGATTATTAGTCCTACTTACTATATTTTGGATATGTTACGTAATTTACGTATTTTCTAGTCTCAAGTATTTAATTTATATACTTCTATAAGTAGGATTTATTTTTTATCTTACTATTGTCAAAGAAGCTTGTTAGTATCCTTCAAAACCATATCATTCGTTAATTTGTGGAAGTATCATCCACCATTTAATGATATATAGTTCATGGAGTATAATGATTACTTCAACTGTATTATCACTATCACTTGGAGTAGTGTTTTGAAGCCGGAGGAATTGATGTGGACATAAATTTTCCGTTGCTACCTTATTATGAATATTTGATCCATTTTTTTAGGTTTTGTTATTTTATTAAGATTATTTTGGTCAATAATATTATGTTTTCTAGTAATTTATTAGCAGTGTGTTAGCAAATTATAAGCTGTAAACAACTTGCTATTAGTTTGTCATTTTTTTCATCTATAAATATGTAAACTTTTAGTAATGCAAGGCTGTTTACACCTAAAAAAAAACTTCTATTGTGGATCTAGAGGTATAGACGCTTCTTATTCATCTATTATGGGATTTTAATCATTGATCTACTGTGACTTGACGAATTTTAGTGGAGATTATCTCCTCATATATCATGTTACTTAATATGTTCCATCATTTGTACTACCTTTCGAAATTTATTTTCATGACCTTTCATCGTTATGTTTGGATGATGGGAATTTGAGTGAAAGAAAATAAGAAAAAGGCTGAAAAGCTTAATAAGTGGCCACAGATTCATAATCAACCCATGTTCAATTAAGATTTCATTTCAGTTCCTTCACTTTAATCCAAACCAAGCCTAAATTTCTTCACAGCTAAAAAATTAGCAAAGAACACATGGAAGACTTCCTAGGAGGTAAAGAATATAACAATTATACTTTTAGATTATTCTTTAGTTCTTTAGATGGTTTTTTTATTTCATTTCCTAAAACTATGAGGAGCAATTTGCGTGATTAATATTGGAATCAGATGTTGTCTGTTTGATTTCATAACAGGAAGCCTTGGCTAATTTGGATCTTCAAAAACTTAACTGTATATAGAAATAACTTATGTACGACAGAAAAATCAGAAACATTCAATTTTTAGCAGAGGCTAAGGTTTTATGGAAGGCAAAAAAACGTTGAAGCTTCCAATTTCTGTTGTCCAACACCAACCCCCAATCCCAACAGTTTGTCTTTACATCCAAAACCATTTCTATATGAAATTCTAACACTAATATGAATGTTAAAGTCATTTCTTTCCATTATCTGCTCTACAAAATATTTTAAGCATTTGTTGTTGGGATTTAAATCAAAAAGTTGTTTTTAGGATATGAAGAATGTCAGAGGCATCAGATGTGAATATTGCCATACAGGAGAAATGTGAAATTACGACAAAAAGAATAGCATAAATTTTTATGTAGCTTGTGGTTAATGAAGAAAGATGAGAAGGAACCTTGTAATCTTGCTGGCGTATGTCAGAAGCATAAACTAATCGAAGCTTAAACATTTGCAGTCTATAGGGTTGATCACTTGCTGTACGAACAGGTACTGTAAAAATATTTGCAAATTGTAAAGTTCAATTTCCTAGTTGAAACCTGAGCTTTTAAGCATTTAAAAAAGAAAGGACCTCACCATCTATTTTGTTGAAAACAGAGAATGGGAGCAGCATTTCAACAAAATTTAGACCATTTTTTCTGCAAGCTTCTTCAGCAAGAGGAGTAGAAAGAACCATGACAACAGGGGTTATTTCTTCTAATAGCACTCTCCCAAGCAAGGATCTCATTGGATCCATCATCTATGAAGACAAATACCTCAAAGCTAACTTTGCAAGGATTCCTCAGACCCAAAAAAAAACTCCTAGGAACACCGCTTAACCTGATAACAGCAACGGAAACTGTAAAATGCACCATGAACTGAAGAATGTAGCCCATAATTTTGTCTGATAAATTGTAAATAAACCAACTTTTGTAACGACCAACACTAAAGGTTGATTTGCATGCATTCCATATGCTTCTAACATGCTGTAGTCAGTAAATAACCATAAAAAAGTTTATAAATGGAAAAGACATCTGTGAGTGCATAAAAACAGCAAAGAAGATATTCAGTAGGATGAATCCATATATGAGTCAAGAATTAATAAGGCAAGGCCTTGAGTCTTAACGCTATACCATATGCAAAGATAAAACTCGATATTTTGCTCCCTAAAATTTTAATTATGAAGCAAGGCTATGAAAGGCAACTTTCTTCTTCAAGTACGGGTTAGCAAATAGAATTTTGGTTTTGAGGTTGTTTAGTAAAGTGGAAGAGAAACCAAGAATCCTGTCTCGACTCTCAAGAATGGAAATGGCACAGAACAGTTGATCAATTTCTTATTAAGGTGGGAGAAAACACTATAAAATTCACATCATCGTACAATAAACCCTCATGCATCATGATCGAGATACTTTCAACAAACATAAATAAAAGACCATCAGTCATAATGCACCCAACGAATGTAACAAATTGTCATACATATGAAAAAGAAATTGCATATAATATAAAATGACAAGGGATAAATTGCGTGAATATAATTGAAATCCAAGAAGAAAATAACATAAATTATAAGAATTGCATAAAACTATCATATAACACCAAGTTTAACTTCAAATTCTTTCTTTCTCACTACATTACTCATCCACAATTAATTCTTAAAGAAAGCTAAAATAGTTGTCAATTAACTCAAAAATTATCTGCAGTGTCATCAGTGAGGGTATTTTTATTGGAATCATCGTCATAACAAATTGGTCTCTCCCATGCCCCATCCTGTGGAGTCCAAGCTTTCCAATCTGCTTCTTGATTATTTATTTCAGTCATCTTCATCTTTCATAAATATTTATCATCAAACTTAAGGGAAAATTCTATAAGATGGTAGTGAGGCCTGCAATGCTTTATGGTGCCACATGTTGGCCATTAAAAGAGAAGCATAATACTAAGTTAAGTGTGGCAGAGATGAGAATGCTCAGGTGGATGAGTGGTTTTACCCTTAGAGATAGGATATGAAATGAGCATATACGTGAAAAGGTTGGAGACTTGGAGTAGCTCCAGTAGAAGATAAGATTAGAGAGAGTCGCCTTAGTGGTTTGGTCACATAAAAAGACGGCCTTCCGATGACCCGGTTAGGAGAGTAGAGGTATTAGATTTGACTTGTGTTAAGAAAGGTAGGGGTAGACCTAAAAAGACTTTGTTAGAAAATATTAGGAATGACCTTTCTTTATTAGATTTAAATGAAAATTTGACTTTTAATAGGACACAATGGAGAAAATGGATTCATGTAGCCGACCCCACATAGTGGGATAAAGGCTTGATGTTGTTATTGTTGTATATGAAATGTGTCATTTTGCTAAATCGGTCAACAACAACAAACACATAATCAAATTTTCAAGCAGTGACAGATAATCCAAACAAAGTCCATAGGGATATCTTCCCATGGTTTGTTTGGAATTGAGAGAGGGGTATATAGACCAATGTTTTGAGTGGTTCCTTTGAATTCTTGACAGATTTTACATTGTATTATGAATTTCATTATAGGTTTTCGCATGTGGGGCCATACACATCGTTCCTCAACTAAAGCAGTGGTCTTTCCTTGTCCAAAATGCCCTCCTAACCCTCCACCATCAAGTTTTTTAATGATTTTTTCACGTAAAGAGCTTTGGGTAATACAAAGTTTAGTTCCTTTAAACAGAAATCCTTGTTGAATGGTAAATTGAGCATAAGAGTCGGTTCCAGAAGCACAACATGATTCCCAAATAGTTTTGAAATCTAGGTCAGTAGCATAGCTATAATTTAAAGAATCAAGGGAAATTACAATTTGTTTGATAGTTATCAATAATTGGGCTCGTTGGCTTAAGGCATCAGCAACTTTATTTAAAATTCTAGCTTTATGTTTAAGATGAAATGTATATTCTTGCAAGAAAGATGTCCATTTAGCATGTCTTTGATTCAAATTTTTTTGTGATCCTAAGCATCGGAGAGCTTCATGATCAGAGTTTAGCACAAATTCTCTTTGAATAAGATAATGCTTCCAAATTTTAGGGCTTGAACAATCTCATAAAACTCAACATCGTAAGTAGAATATCGGGATTGGGTATCATTGAGTTTTTCACTAAAGAAAGCAACAGGTCTACCCTCTTGACTAAGGACAGCTCCAATGCCTACATGGGAAGCATCACAGTTTAGTTCAAGCATCTTTTCAAAATCAAGTAACTTAAGAACAGGAACTTAATGAACACCACGATTGCAGAGAAGAAGAAACGTTTAAAAGGCATATATATATATATATATATATAAAAAAAAAATCATTGATTATAGAGGACAACACAAGTTAGAAGATATGTAAATAAACATAGAACATAATTATATTTGCTAATATTTTTTTTTTAATAGTACCTGTATGTAACAAGCAAACTTCAGAAATTAATCATCTATTGGATAAGAATGCCTCTTGGTTCTCTGATGGCTTATCCGAAGAACTTTGCTACTTTCAATTTTGGGAGATGAATCACCCCCCTCTTTCCTCCGTACTTGTTCGAAGAGCAAAGTTGGAGTGCTAGGTTTTTTTTAATAGTACCTGTATGTAACAAGCAAACTTCAGAAATTAATCATCTATTGGATAAGAATGCCTCTTGGTTCTCTGATGGCTTATCCGAAGAACTTTGCTACTTTCAATTTTGGGAGATGAATCACCCCCCTCTTTCCTCCGTACTTGTTCGAAGAGCAAAGTTGGAGTGCTAGGTGCAGCCGAAGTAATGGAGCAGGAGGGCTGCTGCTAAGGAGCTGGGTTTGAGTCCGGCGTTGGGTAGTCGGCTGCTAAAGCAGAGCTACAGCAGGTGGTCAGCAAGATGACCAATTGGAGAGGGAATAGGTACCGGCGGTTGGAGGTAGGCCGGCTGGAGGCGGAGGCGGAGTCGGCTGGACCAGCAAAGGGCTGGAGTCGGGGTGGATTCGGGTAGGCCAGATCGGCGGTGGCTTGGAGGTGGAGATCGAGCTGATCGTATGGCTGGAGCCGGTCGACGTCGAGGATAACTGAGAGGTTGGTCGAGAGGTGGCGTCGGGCTGGAGGCCGAGGCTCGCCACCGCTGAGGGAGGAGAGGCTTCGGGACTTGAGCTGCACGAGGAGTCGAGCTAGAAGGGGGTAGAGGTGTTGCTAGATCGGCTGCTTCGTCTTCCCAAAGAGTGTATCGTAGATCTCAGAGAGGGAGAATGAGAGCTGCTGTCGGTGGCTGGTGAGGGAACCAGAGGAAAAAAGGTGTGAGGTCTTGCGGCTGGATGAGTGTGAACCGTCCCCACTCCTTGAACCGGCGTTGCCTCTATTCAATCCGAAAATCAAACCCTTCATCAAACGGTTGATATTAAATATTAGAAAAATTTACATACATACCACTTTATTTCATATTATTAACATATTCAATATCTAAAATATTAATATTATATATCTAAATCTAACATTCATATACAACTTTAATATCAAATATACCAGTCCTATAATTTATTTCAACCATTCATACTATCCTATAAACTTTAATATTTCATTCCATGCACATAAATTTATTCTATAGGTGGTAGTCATATAATATTAATATTTTAAATGTTAAATATATAAATAGCATGAAATAAAATGGTATGCATGTAAATATTATCTTTGATGTCAAAACTCAATCACTAGATAACAAATTACTCCATTTAGGATGATAAAAAAGTGAAATTAAAATAATTTTGTATTCAAACTTAATAGAAAAGTAATTTAAATGAGACATGTTTTTTTTAACTTAATAAAAACATATTTTATCAAATTTCTATTTTATATTATCTCCTTTTTTAAATAGATTTATTATATATTTATGTATATAAAAATATTTCATGTTTATTTAATATTATTATTATTGTTTGCATGACTTTTGAGGGCAATTGCCCCCCTAGTCATAATGGGGTTCCGCCCCTGCAAATAAATGAATCCTAAGATCGAGCACGAATCAAGGTAAAATACGTGATTTAACCCTTCAACAACATAGCAATGTGTCATATAGGAAGGCGGATCAAATTGTCAAATGCAAGAGATAGGATAGTGGAAGTGACTGATGTCAAAAATGAGGTAAATATTTAATCAAATTATAATATTTTTACTTACTCTAAAGACACTTAACCAAATGAAATTTAAGTATTCAAAATATACTAAGTTAATTTACTCTGCATACACCTAACCAAATAAAAAAATAGTTCTCATGCATTTACTTTACGGACAATCAAACAGCCTCAAAATATTTACTTAAAATTGTATTTATTTTGTATTTAGAATCACTCATAACTCAACTCATTTTCGTTTCGACAACAGATACAGATGCGGATTCAATAGCGGTACTTTCCCGCTCAAAGAAAAGACTCGGGCTATCCAAAGAGGGACATCTCCTCACTACTGGGCTTCAGAACATTTACTTTACACCGCATTTACTTTACAGTCAACCAAACAGACCCTTGATTGGTCTAAATGTCCAAAAAAAATTTATTCCAATTCATTTCAGCCAAATATTTTTTTTCTTGAGTAAATATTTATAAATATTTATTTCAAATTAAAATATTCTTGATATGGAGAAATTGTATTTGAAATTCACCCTCAAAAGTCATGCAAACTTTTCAAATAAATTATTCTCTCGCATGATCTTAAAACAGGAAGAATTCATTTGTAATAAAATGTCATAGCAACTATCCTAAATTTCTAATCATCGCCTCTATTGAAGATCAATGATGTTATATATTTGGTTCTTCATGTTTGAATGCATTATTTGTATTTTAAACATTATTCAAATATTCTTCAAACGAGTTCAAATATTATTTGAACTTTCGAAGAAGGTTCAAATAAGATTCACACATAGTTTGAAATTTGTTCGAGCAAGTTTCTAACAAGGTTTAAAAATGATTGGAATGGGGTTGAATAATGTTTGAATATGATCTAAACTAGATGTATGCAATGTTCAAACAATATAAGTATTAGGTTTGAGTATGTTTCGATTCAAGCTTGATTTGAACATGATTCGAGCATACTTATAACAAGATTCAAGCATGATTTGAACATTTTTTATTATGATTTGAACCCGGTTTGATTATGATTCAATCATATTTTTAAATATTGATAGATCTCCCATTAGTTAATTATTTAAATCATCGGAACTATAATTTTATAATGCTCTCATTCATAAACAATTACTAAGGGTAATTTTGATTGATGATGATAAGAATAAATGATACTATATTGTATTCAACATTTGAAGTAAAAACAAAAAAAGGATATGTTAAATTTGCTTTGACAATTGGCCAGGTAGGAATTTGAAGAATTCTCATCTAGGGAGAAATTCAACATGGTAAGCTTAAGTAGCTTGCTACTAGATTCCTTGAATTAAAATAAAAACTTCAAAATTGCAGACTTAGAGAAAGCATTTATAGAGTATACTACGATGGATAATGTGTGGAAGCTAAGTTTATATTACTTTATAGATTACATCTTCCTCAATCATGATAAACATAGAGTTTTTTTAACTAAGATAATTAACTTGGTTGAAGATGAAACCTTTTTTGGGGTTTTCATGTGATAGGCTATTATGGGAGAGGACACTGAGATGGCTAAAAGAGGATATGATGCACTATGAGTCCACAGCTATAAAGAAGAATGTCTTAGTCCAATACATTATAATTAGATAGGTTATATCATTAAAGTACTTGGTTTATGAGCCATTCTAATGTTGGGGATGAAATAGGTTGAGTTCCTTAGAAAGAGAACCAAGGATGTTTAGTTGGCATGGTAGCAAGGTACTCATAGAAAGAAAAAAAAAAGAATATTTATGAATAATGATGTAATGACATGCACAATATTGTATGTTAACTATTAGTTTATGCAATGAATCCTTATTATAAATTAACTTGTAAAATATTTTTAACTTATTTTTTATACATGATTGTTCCCCCTTCTCCCCCTTCGTTGGTGCATAGATATAACGAGAAGTACTTCATTAAATTTGTTGTATATACTCCTCAGTATATCCCAGTCAGATATGACGAGAAGTACTTAACAAAATATTTTTAACTCTTGCATAGTGAAGAAATTAACATCTAAAATGAGTTGTAGAAAGACACCATCCCCCTACAAATCATCAGGACTTATACATCTCACGCGCCAACTCCACCAGAGACAAATCTTTTTCCTCCAATTCATCCAAACCAATCCATGCCAGAGGAGCTCCCTTCAATCCACCATTTCCTTTCAGGAGGCCACCGAAAGTACCTAGTTCCAACTCACAAAGACCGACATGTCAAATTTGTGAAAAAAAAAATCAATCATTCTTCTTTCTCTTGTTAGCATATATGCAACTTTCAATATGCCCCATCTCCTTCATTGAATCAGCGTGCCTTATTATCTCAACAACAAACTCATCCTACCATTGAATGGGTACTCAACTCCAGTGCGTCTACGCACCTCACATCTGAAATCAACAATCTACATCAACTAGTTCCCTATTAAGGTGTTGATCCATCTCCATTGTCAATGGCACCTCCTTACCCATTCAACATAGCAGTCAAGGTATTCTACCACTACTAGATTCCGCTTGTAAACTCTGACTACACAATCCTCTTCATTTCTATCTCTCTCTCATAATCTCCTATCTATCTCTAAACTTAACTCAGACGGTAACTATTATATTTCCTTTGATGCAAGTGGATTCATCAATAAGGACCTACTAGACAATCGAGCACTACTTCGTGGCCACAGCCATGACGACATATATCTAATTCACACCACCATGGAACCAATAGTCCTAGTGCTTCACACCAACATAGATTCAACTCCTTTTTAGCATGCTCGCCTCAAACATCCCCACCATCATGTGCTGGCTATCTTATCTATGTTTATTCTCTCTCTATATAGTACTTCACCATCCTTCTTATGTAACTCTTGTAAAATGGCTAAAATTCATAAATTAGCTTTCCCTATGTAATCTACTCATATAACTCATCCCTTCAACTTAATACACTATGATGTTTGGGGTCCAACCCCAATTCCCTCTTTAGATGGTTAATGTTATATTGTCTTCATCAATTATACACTACAGAAAAATTAGTGTTTACTGGTGGTCATTCCGGAGGTCAAATAACTGCCAGAATTATCGGCGATTAAATCGGCTATCTGATCGCTGGAAACTTCGATACCATAAACTTATTTTAACCGTCCAAATTTTAATATAGCTGTCGGTAAATACCGTCGGTAAATCGCAGGTCAACTGACGGCTGGACCGCCAGTTAAACCAGCATTTGAGATGGTCGATAAGTTGCCGGTAAGTAATCGGCGGTCACCAATGTTATGACCGCCATAAATTGAGCGCCACAATTCGTTTCTTAAGCGCTTTATACCGGCAAGTAAGAAACTGTCAAAAAACTGCCAACAAAATAATGTTAACCGCCAGTAATTGATAATTTTCTTGTAGTTATAGCACTTGTTTATGTTGGCTATTCTTAATGCATACTAAAAATGAAACACTAACTAAATTCCA